TCTTCTGTATGACTTAACTTTAACTTTGAATCAGGGATGTTGCTGTTACACTAACCATCTAGTGTAACGGCAACATCCCTGATTCAGTATGTCTCAACCACTAGGTGACCAGGATGCCTACAGATGAACATAACCCAAATAAGACAAAAGAAAACAGCAGCAAAGAGGGCTGAGCAAACATAAAATTACTTCTGCCTCTTGGTTTGAATTCATTCTGCTATGTGGTGGTTGTATGAATGTGCTGATGCATATTAGCTTCAAAATTTGAATAACATTGTTTTTGGGAAGTGGAAAACATAGTTGGAAGTGTACGGCCCAGTGTTTCATAGCACCAAAACTTGGTGAAAATCATGTGTACGTTATTTAATAGCTTTATGTGACTGAAAAGGAGCAGCCATGGCCGTACATCCCTGTGCTGGTTCAGCCAACATGATGATCTTGCCTTGATTTTGCCAAATGCCATTCAAAGTACTGTGCAAAATTCAAATTAAAGTCAATTTTCTGGAAATATCTCTATTTCCAGAAATAGCTAGTTCGTACATTTAAAACTGTTGAATGACTTTTAATGGGGTGTTGTCATCATTACATTCATTTGGACTGTGAGTCCAGCTGATCTGCAAGTTCTTTCAGAGCTGAGATAATTGTTCTAATTTACAATGAAAGGCAAAGCAGTTTTATTTAGAGTTGTTGCACCCGTGTAATGCCACTTAGATCTGAGGATTTCAAAGTCATGAGATACTGTAAGCTGCTATAAATTCTTCAGGCAGTGAGAAACGATTCTATGTGGCCTTGATTGATTTGTGGACTGGTTCAACTGATGTGTGTCCAAACGCTGATGTCATGGAAAAGGCATCCCCTACTGCCCTGGCTTCTCGCAGCATGCCAAAAATACTGCCCTAATTGATCCTCTCTCACTCTCACTTTCTCTCATTCCTCCTCTCTTGCTCTGTCTGTGTCTGAGCTTTCTGTCTTGTCATCTCTTGCTCAGCCATCTCTCCACTGTCTCATTAAATTAGAGGACAATGGTTACTTTAATGGCAACATTGTTAATTTACACAAACATTAATCTGCCATTTGTCCACTTCATTGTTTGCTGAGCTTTCAAAACTATGGCACACGGACAAAACCAAGCCGCTTCCAAAGGAGCCATGTGCAGCCAGACAGCCTTGGAATAGATGTGAGAGACAAGGAATTAGAGAGAGGGATAGACAGACAACTGAGCTATATGCAAGCAATGTAGATAGAAAAAATGAGAGACAAAGGAAAGTGTATCCATGTGGGTGGGTGGATGGCCGGGGTGGTCGTGTGTGTCTTGCCAATTTTGTTACTTTATGTTTTGACATTCTCGTGGCAGGCCAGACCGTGGCTGGTTCCTTTGTTCTCCCAGGCGATCTTTATCATCACTGAGTGCCTGCACTGAGCTCTGACACCACACTCTGTCCATCAAGCCCTCTTTAATTCTACTATCTGTGTCTACAAATGAGATCCTAACAGTGTGAAGACCCCTGGTTAAGGTTCCTTTTACATGACTATGATCAAAAAGTTAAATAAAAAAATAAAAAGTCTAAACTTTCTCAAACATTATCTGCAAAATATCAAATTGCCTTGCACAAATGAGCATTTTATCCCTCTTTTACCCAATAAAATGCAGATCTCCAAAGTTGACTCTCTGAGAGGCTCAATCATGGCAGAAACAGCTTTATTACAGTACATAACAATCTTGTAATTGCTGTAGGGGCTGTGTAAGGGGAAACAGTACCTGTCATTGATGCCAACTATTTAAACAACTAAAAAAAGCAATAAAAGGCTGGCAAGCAAACATCCTGGGTCCCAAACAAAACTTTTAACAAATTGCCTTGATAAAACTCCCGCCTCGTCATCGTCGTCCTGCTCCCCTCCCTCTCCCACCTCATTGTATCCATCTGCACATTATGTGGCCACATAATTTAAACAGTGTGACTGTTACATGCCTGCATTGTTTTGCTGGGCAAAGGAGCCAGTGAGGCCCATGCGTCTTTCGTGAGGTTCTTGGGGAATACCGCATCCACCCTGCTGAATAACAAGACCAGACAAACTATGTGAGCAATGTCCAAACAGGTCATGTTACAAACAAAACAATCATTTGACAGCATTGGGACAACACTCAAAAGACATTACAGGAAGAAAAAAAAGGCAAATGGGTTTAGGAAGAAAAGCAACATTTGTAAAAACAATAATATCCTAATTTCTTTATTTTCATGTGTTTCTAAAAGTGTTTAGCATTGGAATGCCATCTCAGTTGTTCATTTTGTCTCACTGTGTTTTGTGGTTTCCTTTTTGTCATTCTGTTGTTTTTACAGTGGTAACTCTGTGGAAATAATGCTGAAAGCTTACAGTTCTTCATAACTACTTACAAACATTTCTCAATACTAAATTCACTTTTTCAAAACTTGCCCTGCAGTAAGAAAAACAGTGCATGTGTTTTTCTTACTGCAAAAAACAACAAAACATGTGTACCAAAAGGTGACTTTTTCTTCCAGAAATTCTTTACTCAAAAACAACCTTCGTCACAACTGTGCATTATAGCATACTTCATTTATCTGTTACGTTTAACATACAACCGTGAACCAGAAGTAATAGTGAAAATGGTTTGAAAATATGAAGTGAGCAGGCCAACAATGTCAACATTAACAACATCAGTACCATTGTATGTAAATTAGATTAAACATACAGTAACTGCTTCCATCAAAGGCCCTGGATACCCAGCTGTTTTTAAATATTCTGACTTCTGATCATGTTGTAGTTGGTTGGGGCTATGCTCAAAATGTGTGAGGTCACCAGACTACATGTACAGGGATGTTAAAGGTGTAACTTTTCCTGTCCCAACAGGTGAAACAAAGCTAATAAGACTGCCAGCGAGATTACAGCCAACACAGTCTATACATGCCACACACTCCTGGGAAGAGGTCAAATTATCCAAAATAATTTAATCACCTTTGTTGGTTTACCATGGGTGTACTGGCCCTGTGTATTTTGTTTTGGGTATTTATTTCATTAATTATTCACAAACTTAATCTACTTTACCATTCTGTTAATTTGTGCATTACAGTAAACATAGAGAATATAAATAAAGATACAAATAGAAGTGGATAAAAGGAGACAATATATGCAAACATAAAAAGAGACAATATGTAGAATTTAACCATTATTTCATTTAAGCTGTACAGATTTCAGGAATGTGCTAAATATTGCTCAGGGAAATGACTGGAGGCACTAAGTTACCACTCAATGCTGTGTAAGCGCCATTAGTTTGGGGTGATGCCAAATTTCTCTTTAGGGTCTTGACCTGGAAAAGTTTGGGAGCCCTGGTTTAGCCCATACAAAAACTGAGGTCTAAAAACAACAATTCACCATTTCATAGGGGTAATTTGCCAGACTATTTCTCTCTTTGTCTTTGTTGGCTTTCTGGCCAAGAAATAGTTCGGCAAACTTTGGTTTGCTAGTATGCACATTTTGTTACCAATAGACAGAGCCAGGCTAGCTGTTTCTTCATGTTTCTGGTCTTGGTGGAAAGCTTAGCGAACCGGCTGCTCACTGTACAGACATGAGAGCGGTATTAATCCTCTCATCTAAGTTTTTACTAGGGAGCAAAAGCATCCCAAATTGATGAACTTTTTTTAAGGCCTATACCAATACTCTGCAGGTTGCTGCTATCCACCTACTCTAATATCATCATAGCCAACTCGGCCTTTTCACATCAGACATTTTTACATCTGATAATAGGAAATACACCGGTGTTGGTACCAATGGTAATAACAATATTACCAGGGGCTACATTCTAAGTGTCAAAATTTAGCCATTGTAATTTGATCATTTATATGTGCACTTTTCCTACTGTGACATGTCAAAATGTCTTCTGTGAAAAAGGCCTATACAGCTGGTTGTAGCTTAAAGTGGAGAAACTGGTTAGCAATATGACACAATTTGTATAGCAAGTTTAGCTAAAGAAACATAAAGTCACTCCTGGACGCTTTTTAATTGATATGTTGTTTGTAAAAGAGGCATATACTTCAGGGAAGTTAGAGACCAGTAAAAGCAGCTTGTGTGTTTTCCCTGGTGTGGTTTCTGTGGTTGCCATGG